ACTTCGCTGGATACGTCTTACCTTTGGTATTCTATAAATTGCCAGACCAGGGGAATTCCTGAAGTTATTTTTAACTTGCATGTCTCGTCATAATTTAAGGTGGCTGCTCGACTTAACCCCCAAGCAATCTCATAAATGCAAGCCCGCTTAGTTTGATTCCCAGGTCATCACTCTCGTCCGAAGTGAGCTACATCTACATCTAAATTTATATTAAGTTGGTAAAATCTTTTAGAGACATTGCACCAAATAGTAAAAGAAACGATCATAAAATATATACAATATCCGGATAAAATTAATAAATAAACTCGGATAATACATAATTATATAAAAATATGTGAATCATAACATAGAGTATGAAGTATGAAAGTATGAACGTTTGGTGATTCTTAGCTGGGTAGCGGAATAATTTACAGTTAAAGACAGCCAAGGCCTTTGACTCTATTTCCGCGGGAAGCTTATTCTATACTCTTATGGTCCTTGAGAAGAAGGAATAAAAATAAATGTTCTTTTTCTCCTTATCTTGCCTATATCTATAACGATGACTCCCTCGAGTTCTAACTTCACCATGGGGTTGTAGATAGCTATTTACATCAATATCAGTATGTCCACGACTCATTTTATACAAAAGGTTTAGTCGAGTCATAGTTCTTCTTAATTCTAAGCGCGTCCAACCTAGATCTTGAAGCAGTTCAGTAACGCTGGCTGTAGGATGATAGTTGTTGGAGCAAAACCGTGCCGCTTTTCTCTGGATCCTCTCAAGCGAAGCAATGTCCTTTTGGAGGTATAGGTCCCAAGCGGCACAGGCATATTCAAGCTTCGGACGATCTACGGCTGTGTAGGCAGTTGTATTAACACGTTTGGACCACTTCAGATCTTCATTTAGTAATACACCCAGATAGGAAATACATTCAAGCTGTTCCAGTTCGATTCCACAAAAAACATATTTCCTTTATGGGGGTACTTTCTTGCATATCGTCTTGCATTTTGAGGGGTTGAATACCATTTGCCATTTGCTTTGCCACATTTCTAGTTGTCGTAGGTCATCCTGCAGTTTGTCACCGTCCTCCTCATTTGAGATGACACCGTAAAGCAATGTATCGTCAGCAAAAAGCATGAGTGAGGACTTAAGGTCTTGCAAATCGTCTACGTAGAGTTGAAATATTAGCGGTCCCAAAACTGTACTTTGCGGAACTCCCGATGTCACTGGCGAAGGGTTAGAACATTCACCATAACAGGAGACTGACTGAGTATGGTTCTTGAGGAAAGATTCTAACCCGTTAAGCAAGGGGCCACGAATACCATAATGCTGTAACGAAATGACTTACTTAAGAGGACGTACATGGGGGACTTGTCGAATGCCTTACTGAAGTCTAGCACAGCAGCATAGACTGACTTTTCATCTTGAATAGTCTTGGCCGTGTCGTGAATCGTCAAAATTTATTATGTTACCGTAGATCGTTTTGCTCTGAAGCCATGCTGCACGTCAGTAGGAATCGTGCAGTGCTCCAAATGTTTCATCACGTGGATGTGAACAATATGTTCGAGGATTTTAGATGCTTTTTATATGCATTTTAACGAGACTGGTCTATAGTTCGCAGGGTTTGATTTATCTCCACTCTTGTGGTCATCGCATACATTAGCATGTTTCCATTTAGACGGGATACACCCAGTGTCGACAGAAGTTTGATAGATAGCCGCTAGCATAGGGCCAATTTACTTTGCATTTTCCTTCATAAGCATGGAGGTATCCCATCTGGATCAGATGCTTTAAGGATTCTAGCTGTTTAATGACGCCAGAAACTGTAACGGTAAATGTTCCAATCCTTGGCTTCATATCAGTACGGCCAACAGTTGGAATATCACTGAGGTCTTCTTGAGTAGATACGGTCGAAGAGTGATTGCTCAGGAGTTCCGCCTTCAAATTTCCATCCCTCATGATTTTACCGTCGACTTTTAAATCTGTTACGCCAGGGTCGTCATTCTTTAATTGCTTTAAAATATATGACCAGAAGAGCTTAGGATTTTCCCCAATAACTTCTCCCAGGTAGTCTGAAATGTAATTTTCTCTCGCAGACTTCAAGCTCTTGTGTAAGCGTTTACTGGCGGCGCGGAAATCAATCCAGTGTGTAGGATTTCCCGATTTCTTAGCCTTATTATAAAGCCGTTGTTTAGCTCTTGTTTGTCGCTCAAGTAAATTAAGGCATGGGCCTCAATTTGCTTCAATTTGCTCACTTCAAAGGTGAGGGGGTGATCTATATCTAAGAGATTTAGATGTAGACTCATAAAACTCTGCCAACTGCACACATTTTTAGTTTGTGCCTATTTCGTGCTTTGGAATTATTCAAATTAGGTCACGTGACCTCCATCGGCTGAAAAAAGCTTGTTCTTGAAACTCGATTGAAACGGCAACCTTTTTCGTGTGTCCTCAATTATTTTACCGGTTGGAAAATGTTAATTAGCAATTAATGAATGAGGCTGAGTAGGATGTGAAGAATTAAGCAGATCGAGGAGGGTGTTATATCCTACGAAAGCCGAATTCATTAATTGCTTTATTATCCATTCAAAATAATTCCTAGTTTAAAAACACAGCTAAAACGTGCTTACCTGCATCGATGTTAAGTTTATCTTCGACAGTGTACGTTTAGATTTGTCCAGCCCATTAAATATTCTCCAAATAGTAGATGTCGCCCTCCGAGTTGTCTTCTTGCTATTTTTGCTGTGTTTTTAGCCATTATTTCGCCTAGTTCCAGCTGTAGTTCTTACTCTTGAAACGAGTGCAGTGTCCGCCATTTTAGTTTTCACAACGAAAACAACTCAACCTCGTCCCCAGGTCGTCTCGGTTAACATTGCATTAACCTGTAGAGGGCTGCATTTTTGACGACATTTCCTCGTTAAACACAAAATTCTTCCAAACTTGGTCATCAGTAACATCAACATGCGAGCGAGAAATCTTTAAACTTTTTTAGGTCACATAATGCAAAGGATTTTATTCCTTTAAGTTAAAGAAAAATACCAAGACAAAAATCTTAAAACTGAATATTTCTATCTTGTGGAAAAAAATAATGTGTTTTTATGTAGACTGTAAACCGCAAATTAAAGTGCAATCATGATGCCCTTGGATTGGGATCAATGAGCTGTTGGCTGTCTGTTTTAGTAAACTTCTCATTTTCATACCATACAATATTTCTGTCTAGTTTAAGCAGCCCAGTGAATTCGTCTTTTGGCGAGTCTATTTCTTGTGTGAAGCATGCTGGTAGGAGTTGTGACCATTAACTGGGCTGCCTCAAGGCACGCCCAAGTTCATAAAATGGGTAGATATCTCCGTCAAAAAAACGAACGCTACCAATTATTAACCCAGTAACCCTGAGGGGTTTTGCGTGATCCATAAAGTCTCCGCAGAGTCTGTTTAAAGATTGATTCTTTTTGTTGAATGCAACGTACGCCTTTTTGGAGGTCTAAATTTCGGATTGGGATAAAAAAGACTAAGGACGAAACAGAAGCTTTGAGAATTTCGCATACAGGTTCATCTCATAGCCTCGACTGGCGAGACGGCAAATAAGCGGCGAAGCTTCGAGAACGGAAAGCTTCACCGAGAACCTCAAATACCAGCTTGAGAGAAATAGAGTACTAAGGCAAGTTACTTACCAGAACAAGGTTTGGTGACTTAGCATCCTAGACCTTACAGTTATTCTCAATGTGGCCCAAAGTGTTTGTTTTTGTTTGTATCTATGAATACATTTGAGCGTGGTCGAGTGTTATGCTTCTCCTAATTTCTGTGTCTCCGCCAGTTCAACAAGCACGATTGATATTAGCTTTAGCGAGTTTCGACAGGAACCCATTATGGGCTCCTGTTTTCCATAAACTTTGAAAGTTCACAGCTTGCTCTAACAGGTATACCTTTTTATGTGCACAACCCTCAGAAGGGCAGGGGGCGGCTGTACAGTTGTTTTAGCAGCCCAGTTGAATTGGCCTTTTGGCGAGTCTAGGTTTTTATGATCATGAAGTTTTCCTTGATAGTTTTTAATTAGTAATGTAACTGAGAAATATATATGACAAGGTTTTTATTCTTAAGGCACATAGGACACAAATATTCACATAACTAAAAAAATATTCAAGAAAACGTTTTTTTTATTCCAAGTAAAACACACACAAAAAAACTTGCTAGAAAATTGAAGGGTTCAATGTAAGGGCAGACAAAGCCAAAGTTTAAAGCCAGGATTAACGAAGGACATACTCGGTACTATGTATAATTATACCTCTTGTGGCTGATGGCATAGAACAACCTGAATCTGAACATAATGGATATGTTGTAGTTAATTTTTTATGTCAGGTAATTTTTGTTTTTCCTTTGTTTTTGGGTATGATAATGTATGCTAACGAAGTTGAAACAAAGGAAAAATAAAAATTACCTGAGATAAAAAATTAACTACAACAGATACATGTACATGCAGGATAAAGTAAAAACCTGTTAAAAATTAAAGCACTGCGGATTAGGAGCCTCCAAGCCGAAATTTTACTATTAAAAATACCTCATAACTCATAAGAAGAACTAATTACAATTAAGCTTGACAAATGCAGCAAGTTCTTTTAATAATATTTGAAATATGACCTATAAACTCAGAAATTATCCGTGCCGACTAAGCTTACTTTAATTTATGCAACGTAAATACACCAACAATAAAAGCAAACAAGTAGTAGTAGTAGTAACAGTTATGGTAGTGCTAGTTTTATTGCATAGTTTTTGTCAGGGTCAATACAACAGTAAATTATAATTAATTAAAGTTGGAAAACCATATAAAAACTATCTGACTACAAATTTTAAAAAAAAAACTAATTAAATGGTTATCCTTAAATGTTACCATTTCGATTATCATTGGAGTTCCTTTCATGTAATTTTGCACAATATTAGAAACTTTTTCCTCTACAACGGTAGACTCATATCGTCTCTGTCTATTCCCGTCAAAATAAATGGCAATGATCTTTGGAAAAGAGCCGGTAAACTAGGTTGCTAAAGCTTGCATCACAGGTGTCGCGCCAGTATCAAAACGTAATATCAAGAGAAAAGTAAGGTAGACAAAACTTAGAATTAAAGTGACTTTCAGAAGCAGTGTGCACACACCTTCTCTAACAGGCATTAGGTCTTCACATGCCATGTCAAAGAGGCCTTCTGGAATTGTGACCTCATGGACCCTTGTATCAGAATTGGACGTTTCTATTTCCTCATCATCAAGTCGCAATTGCTCTTTGGATATTTCGTCATGATGCTGTGATTGTTTGTAAAACTTACAGAGCATTAGAGATAGATCGTGGTATTTTTTAGTGAAAGAACTATAGCTACTCCACAAGTAATAACAAACAAGAACAAAGCAGGCCATATACGGGAGGCTCTTCTCAGAAAACAAAATGATAAGAAGTACAAACACACCTGTTGTTAAACCCAACGCTGCATCTACCAGAACAACGCATGCTCCAAGGACAGCTAAAAGTCTAACGAAGATTTGCAAAAGCAGTACAACCAAAACAGAATTGAAGATTCCTTTTAGTGGATAAAAGCTGGTGGTGAAAAGTAACGTCATTATGGGAGATGTAATAAATATACTAATTGAAACTACTACTGACATTGCTAATAGTAGTATAACAGTGGCGACTGGGATCGTTGACAAGAAAACAATAAACATCGGAACTCGAAAACACCATGTTAACCATCCAGTAGACACTTTCAAAAAGGGTAAGATTATTCGAGAAATTCTGAAATAACTAACAAGCCATTTACAAAAGAGCCTACGACATTTTACAAAAATTAATGGTTGTAAGCGCAAATGATTAAGAATTCTCTGAGGAAGATTATCATTACATCTTCGGTTAGATTTAATGATGGCGCAAACGAAACAGAACGTCTATGTTTGGGACACATTTAGAAAAGAATCGTAAAATGCCTGAAGAAAATAACAAAAACAGCACACTAACTGAATCGGGCCAAGCAAATCTAAGATGTTTAGAAAATTATTTGGTAGCAAGTGGAGATATTGGAAGAATAGGTAATCAAAACCAATTGCAAATATAAGGAACGGAAGCGGCATCAACACAGTTCGCGCAATAAACGTTTTCGTCCTGTGCCAGAGATTATCAACTTCGGAATAGAAACATCTCCCTATAAGATTTCTGAGGCCTACTGGACTTGTTTTTTCCAGAGAAATGTGACGAATGCCATTTTCTGTGACCACAATAGGGGTGAAAAGACAAAGAAACGTTGGGGAATAATACACGAAAGCAAAATAAAATACTATTGCAAATGCGAATATTTGTGAATCAGCTGATACCCATCCGTTGTTCCGTATCGACTGATTGTCAGTAATGTTTCCTGTAGAGTTAGTTATGTTCATGCTCTCAAAGTTAATTTCAAGATTGCCAAGATGACCTCGAAGAGCATCTTCCAATAATACATCTTTGATAGTTTCATGCAAAGCCTTTCCCCGTGCAAGCCTTAAGTTACAATCTGCTTGGAGTTCTCCGTATGCTTCATGGTTAAAAGGAAAAAGCAACTCTAACACTCTTTCAAAGGCTGAGGCGAAACTTGAAGGTTTGTCATTTGCAGGTCGCCAAATTTGCAATTTTTCTGTGACGACTGTGATTGAATTAAGAGACGTTTGATTGGCACAATACTTTTCGTCCACTTTCATCTTATATATGACTGCAACTTCGGTAACTCTGGTCCTTGATTTTTTCAATTAAATCAGATTTAATAACTTTGCAATTCCAACTGCACTTGGTGACATTCCTTAAGTCTTCACTGCCGTTGAACACTTTGTCATACGCTTGCGTCTGACACTGAAAAGTAGCTAATAACACTGCTAAAAAGAACTGGGAAGCTGTCATCCTTCTTAAAACTGATAGGAAAACCGGTCAACTGCAGTAGTAAACAATATTCAAAGCCATGAAATAAAATCTAGCTCTTCAGCCTTGCTACACTACACCGCAAGGTATACGCTTAGTAAGCACAAATTGTGTTTTGCAGTAGCTTTTGATACTGCTCTGAAAGAAAAATACCCTGAGGTGGTCCTTTGTTTTAAACCGTCCGGTCATACATAATGATGAACCATAAATATCACAAAAAGCGTAGGCCTTGTCACAGTACAACGCTTTCCTGACGAAGGGGGTCTCATTGGGTCAATAATCTTCAGCCCCCGTAACGGACAAAAAAGTTAGTCGCCAACCTTGATGAACGCAAAAATGGTTAATGAAAAAATTGTCATTTTGAAATTTGCAAGTCCCGGCTAGTTTCAGATTAATATATAGATTTAACCAGGGCTAAAAGTGGAGCTCTCGATAATATTTACAGTTTGTTAAAAAAAATTTCTTTTGCCGTTGTTTGGCACGACTACAACGTGAAACTTCCAGAAACTTCTTAGTTACACTTTTTATGGAGGAAACGTCATACGTGTTCTCGTTCACTTTTTTTTTTCACTGCCGCTCATTTTCCCTTGCTTTGGTGGCCGCTAGCATTTCTTACTTTCTCACCGCCGCTACAAAATTTTCATGTTGTTCTTCCAACTCAAAAATGTCTCCTTTGTTGTTTATCTCTCGCTCTGGATCTCTGTTGCCCTTTTTCTCGTTGAGCTTTGCTGGCCTGCCGCCCACTTTCTCTTTTTCTCTGTCTTTCTCTTGCTCTATTTTCCAAATTTGCGGACATTTTATCTAATTGTGGACAATTAATCTAAGCTTAATATTTCAGACAACACGGATACAAAAACAACTTCCGCTTTCCATTTTCGTCTTTATTGACTCTTAAGCCTGGTTCTCATATGCCGGCGATGTATTTGCGACGTAGCCGCCGGTACCGCCTGGGCTACTTCTCGGACGAATGAGAAGATGTGCCGCCGGCAACTGGAGCCATCGCAGAGCTTCACCGCCAACATGCCTGCGAAGTTGATCTCGAGTAGACTTCGCAGGCATGCCGGCGGATAAAGACTGGGATGCCAATGTTGCCGGCGACTTCTGTTCTCATATCGGAACAGTATCCCAGGCAGTATCGGCGGCCATGTCGCAGGTGCATCGGCTGCATATGAGAATCAGCCTTACGTTTTCTCTGCTTTACAAGACTCGGGTGGCTATGCGATTTCCCGCCACAGTAACCTCGAGTTGCATTTGGGATGCCATACCTGGTGATTGAGTTATTTTACATTGGTATTCCTGTGGTGCGGACGGACGGTCGGTCGGTCGCTCAGGCGGTGTACGGTCACGTGATTACCAATTTTTCTAGGATGGGTAGATTTACGTAGCTATGGGGCTTGACCACTACGTCAAGGTAGTAATATAAACGGTCATTTAATAATAAGATAATGATAATTCCGTTATTCATACCTTCTTGTTCTATCGCACTTGGTAATAATCGTCGCACTCTGTAATAACACTTAGTCACTCTTTGTAATAAACGAACACAGGACCTTCATAGAAAACAGAAAACTTTCATATGTTAGCAAGACAGAAAGGAATATATAAACGATTTGAACTATATACGCGTGTTATAACCGTGAACTTGATTAGTACGTAAAATGGATCAGGAAAAACTGGAAGGAATGAAATTATTATTGAAAGAATACATACATTTCCTGAGGTACAGAGGATAGATGTCTTCTAATTCAGGATAATAAGATTCTTAAATAAGTGGATCAATGTGTGCATCAAAACCCTTCTTACTGATTATTCTAATAATGCGTTTTTGTAACAAGACTATGCGCCTAAGATGGGTAGGATAAGTCGAACCCCATACTAAAATACAATATTGAAGATAGGAATAGACAAGTGAACAGTATAAAGTACACAAAGCTGTCTTAGTAAGACAAAAACTCGAGTTACGAATAATGCCTACAGACTTGGAGATTTTGCTCGCAGCCTGAGAAATATGGGGTTTTCATGACAATGACTCATCTAAAATAACACCAAGAAAATTAATTTCCTTAAACTTGGTTCAGCTTAAGACCATTCATCTCTATATTTATGATGAAGTCAACTCGTTTAAAAATTATGTAATTTGACTTTTGCATATTAAGAGATAGCTTGTTGGCTTTAAACCAATCAGATAACTTGAGCATTTCAGAGTTTTTCAAGTTCATTAAGACGAAGTTAAGTTTATTATATTGACCGAGTCCCTGTCAATGACACTCTCCTAGAATTAAGGTACTATTTACATAAGACTTCAACCTAACAACATCAACAGGGAATTGAGATTCCTGAAGCGTGGATGCCTACCATCAGACATTATATTCCAATCAACTGATATAACTGTTTCCACCCTTTAATTACAGGCGTAAATTACAGCACTTGACCGTTACTTAAAAAATGATAATCAGAGAACACAGCGAGCACTAATATTCACTCGGGTTCTGGTGCGCACTCGCCTGAATATACGCCTGCTCTGAGTACGACTAGCAAAAAGCGTAGATCGACAAATAACATCCAGAGGAAATTATAATCGCAACATTGAAACTTACAAACACGGGCAATATCACCCAACTGAAGAACAATGTCGTATTTACTCGTATAAGCGCCACAACCTCGCTCCCAGGGTCTTTTCCTACCCGTCCCTGAGAGAGAACCTGGGAACAAGGTTGTAAGCGCCACCGATTAAGCAGAAAACGGCGCATTTGAGACGAAAGATTGATTAAGCCTGCCCCTAAATAAGCGCCGCGGTCCCGGTCCCGGTGCACGTTTAATTCTGTTAGTTTAATACCGAAAATAATAATGCCCTAGTGAAAACAAGTGTACAACTTTCAAATAAGCGCCGCCCTCGGCGAAACAAGCAGCGCACTTGAGGCGTAAAACATGACCAAATGGCGAAATCTCTAAAGATATGAATTTGTAGGATCAAATTACTGGGTTAAAAGCGGCTCCTTACAACTGACATGTATGGCTTCTTTTAGTTTGACCGTAGTTGCCAAGTCAAAATGATAAGAAAAAAAATTAAAGGTGTTTTACCGTCACTGACGCCACTACTTCACAATTTTAAGTAAAGCTAGAAAGAAAAAAGAAAAACAGCAGAGAATGAGCCAGCGCTAACTATTCTCTACCTTTGTTTTCTATTTTCTCCTGCCCAATCCGGGGTCCTTGTGTTTCAGTCTATTTTGTCAAAACATCCGCTTAAAGCTTATCCCATTTATTTCTGTGTTTTTTTTTGTAGATCTGAGCGACAAAATCGCAGAAAGATAGAAAGTCTATGTTATTTTAGCAGTAAACACCAACCGGGGCCCTCATATATTTCAGCAAAGAGCAAGGAGGCCGCGCGTTTTGGACGAATTAGGGCACTGGGAACTAAAATGGTTAATCCAAAGATGGCGCGCGGAGGGCATCAGGGATAGGATATGCGAAAAAAGCAAAGGGGCATGGTGTTATCGCTTCTCGCTTCAAAAATATTTACTACAGGAAAAATACTGCAATTATCCGCTGACAAACACGCAAGGTGACGGCTTTGCAAGTTGTGAGAACATCGTTCCTTGGTCCCAGACCTCGTCTCTTCCACCCAACCCCCCCTCCGCCCCACACCACACCTCAGTTTGGGTGTTTCACGACGGGTTTGGGCAGTATCACCACAACAAAAATACCGAAAAAGTTTTTTTCCATACATTAAATATGTTGTTAAAGTAGGCTCACAAAATTTTTTTATCCCACTAACCATCTTAATCCACTGCCTTCGCTTGTTACAGCAGAGCGAACTACAAAATATTACCTAGAGTAAATCAAGTATATCGTATACCAGACAGTGCTGAACACATGCTTTGCTTTTGTGTACTGTAACCTTCTGGCTCGGGTTGTTCAAACTTTGGATAGCGCTCTGGTTTGTAGTCTGAGATCTCTGAAAGATTAAGGTATATATCAAGATGGTTCAGGTTGCAGACTCTGATTCTGAGGGCTGCTTTTTAATTCATCTTTCTACATAAGCCGGCAACCTTTCCAAGTCGACACGAAATTTAATCTGGCTTGGTATAAACAGAATCGGTCCAGAACTGGAACAAGTCGTTTATACCTAACGAACATTTGGTGCAGTAAATCTCAATCCTCACTCCTGAATATTTACTTCCGCCTAAGCGGGTTCCAGTTCTCGTTCCCACTCATTCACTTCCGCTTTAGTTCGAATACCTGTTCACACTACCTCAAAGAGTAACAAAGAAACCTATCCGAAATGTGACGATGCACTTTCAAATCGGCGCGGGCCAGTTTAAAAGCCCTATTCGATATGGTTTTCGTGCCGGCGCCTCGAGCTATCCGGTATCGACATGCCTTAAGCCCAGTTCAGACGTCGTGCTTCTGCGTGCCGAACTAAATTCAGGAATTAAGTTCGACAAAAACACGGCAGAAGCACGGCGTCTGAATTAAACTTTTGAATTAAGTTCGGCAAGCAATTAAGTTCGACAAGCGCTGCCGTGCTACACGGGTCTGGCACGGCAGCGATTCAAACATCATGCTTCTGCCGCGCTAAACAAAATTCATAAATTATAGAAATGTATTTTGGCGAGATTGCGTTCCCACCAGGAGTTGGGAGAAGAATTGTTACGAGGCATCAGTAAATCCTGAATTTGGTTCGACTCTGGCACGACGTCTGAATCAAAGTTGTTTTCCTGCCGTGCTACAGTCGAACCGAATTACAATTAAGAAGCACGACGTCTGAACTGGGCCTTATAATTGTTACTTAAATACATGATTTTCACTATGTAAATATGAACGTGTTTCATTCTGATTCTATTCAATGTATAAGAATTATCTCTGCCTGTCACAGGAACTCTGAATTCTTTTCTATACTTAAGTACAATTTTAACTTTTTTTAACTGGACTGTCGATGGTGAGTTATCAAGCTCATTGATACGTACAATGTTGTTTAAGTGAGAAAAACATTTTTTGGACAAAAACTCTAGTTTCTCTCTACAATAACTTTCGTAAAAAAAAAATGAACTTTCACATGACTTAACCACCTTGTCACTGCCATTAAGGTTCATGAATTGAGCCGAAAGCTCGTGTATTTTCTCTACAAAAGTCGATGGACAGAAAATTCTTTTACTTCCACACATTACCGCACGGTATGGATTTCCAATAGTCATCCTCATTGAGGTCGATCACTTGTTGTGTATCGTTTTCCTAACATGCTACTACTTCGTTTATAACTGGAGTTCCGTTTAAGTATTCTTGAACAAGTTTAGAAACCTTTTCCTCTACAATTGTAGCCTTAACTCTTCTCTCTGTATCTCCTTCAAAACAAATGGTGAGGATCTTTGGAAAAGATCCAGTAAAAAATATGGCCAAAGCTCGCAGTACCGGTAATGCACCAATATCAAGATGCATCATAAACAGAAAGGTATAAAAGACAAAAATTAAAATTACAGCGACTTTTAAAAGCAGTAAGCAAAAACTTTCTCTAATAGGCATTAGTTCTTCACACGCTATGTCAAACAGCCCTTCTGGAATTCTGACGTTGGAATTGGGCATGTTCAATTTCTCAAGATCCTTGTGTGGTTCCTCTTTAAAGATTTTATCATACTGCTTTGATTGCTTGTAAAACTTAAAGAGAATCAGAGATAAATCGTGGTATTTGTTAGTAAGAGATTTATAGCTACTCGACAAGTAATACCAGACAAGAACAAAACAGACCAGATATGAAATTCCCTCCTCAGAAAACAAAAGGGCGACAAGTATAGACATACTCGTCAGGAAACCAAACGCGGACACAAACAAGACGAAATGTACTCCACTGACAGCACAAAGTCTTACAAGGTATTGGAAAAGAAAAATCTTCCAACCTCGATTGAAGACAGAGCTATTAAATGCATCAACTACGATTAACATCGTGGGAGATGTGAGTAGAATACAAACTAAAACTGCTACTAGCATTGCTACAAGCAAAATAACAACAGCAAATGGAAACATCGAAGAGAAAACAATAAGGAAGGAAACACGGAGAAACCATCTTTTAGATAGTTTCCTTGTGCAAAAGATTATTCGAAACATTTTGAAATAACTGACAAGGTATTTACAAAACAGCCTGTAACATTTCGCTAAAATTAAAGGAAGCATGGGCAAATGGTTACTAATTCTTCTCGAAATGTTAGCATTGCATCTTGACTTAGATTTAATTAGTTGGCAAATGAAACAGGTGACGAAATAGGGAGTCTCCGACTCTGAAGGAGACACATCAAAAAACGAATCATAAACTGTAAAGAAAAAATAGCAAATAGGGTATACTAACAGAGATGGGCGGGTTAAATCGAAAAAGATTCGATCTTCAGTCGGTATTTCGACTGTTGGTTGATGTTGGATTATGTAATGAAACCAAATTGCAGGTATGAGGAATGGAAGTGGTACCAACACAGCTCGCGCAATGAACGTTTTCGTTCTGTGGCAGAGATCATCAACTTCGGAAGAGAAATAGTTTCCTATTAGACTCCCGAAACATAACGGACTTGCTCCCTCCAGACAAATAAGACGAGTGCCATTTTCTGTAACCACTGTAGGAGAGAAAAGGCACAGAAAGACTGGTAAATACAAAGAGACGACCACAGCAAACAATATAGCAAAACACTTGGCATCAGCCCAAACGTTGAAACTTCTAATACGCCTGTCGGTAAATAAAATGTTTCTTTCAGTTGAGTCAATAATAACTCCAAGGTCGGTAAGATGATGCCTAATTATGCTGAAGTCTTCAGGCAAAACTGGAGCACTGTGGGCATTAATCGCAGCCGATTTCCGTGAAAGGGTTAAGTTACAAACTACTTTGATTTCTCTGTAAGCTTCATAGTTTATAGATGAAAACAGCACGTTAAACACTCTTTCAACTACTTGGGAGAAACTTGAAAGTCTGTCGTTTTGCGGGCGCCATATTCGCAACGTCAAGTTGGGGACTCTGCTTGAGTTAACGAATGTTGTGTGGTCGCAATGATTTTGGTCCACCTTTATCTCGTATTTCAAAGAAACGGGGATGAATCTGTTCCCTACGAAGTCTTTGTTTAATTCTTCTGGTAGATCAGATTCAATAACTTTGCAATTCCAGCCACATTTGTTGACATTCCTACTGCCTTCGCCATGGTCGAACTCCTTTGTAACACGCCGTGCCTGTGTCTGACACTGAAAGGCAGCAAGTAAAACTGTAAAACAGAGTTGAGAAGCTGACAGCATTTTTTGAAATCCAACAGAAAACAGCCTGCTGGCGGACTGCAGAAAACCACTCTTAATATGGAACTACAGCCTTGCTTGGCTGTCACACGAAATTTATAATTTGCTTTTCAATAAGCGCAAATTTCTCTGAAACAAGGAACGGGGGAATCGGTGAATGGGAATGGGGAACGGGGAACGGGGAACGGGGAATCTTAAAAAGCGGGATCTTTAAAGCGGGAATCTTTAAAACGGCGAATCTTTAAAAGCGGGAATCTCTAAAACGGGGAATCTTTAAAAGCAGGAATCTTTAAAATGGGGAATCTTTAAAAGAAGGAATTTCTAAAACGGGGAATTCTTAGAAGCGGGAATCTTTAAAATGAGGAATCTTTAAAAGCGGGAATCTTTAAAATGGCGAATCTTTAAAAGCGGGAATCTTTAAAATAGGGCCGAATCTTTAAAAGCGGGAATCTCTAAAACGGCGGATCTTTAAAAGTGGGAATCTTTACATATTTAGAACAAAACGACGCTGTTTATTGAGTTGGACTACTGTCAGCTTTATTAATCACTCGAAGCCAAAATCCAGCTGTTCACTTGTAGCACATTTTCTTGAATTAGAGAAAACCCAATTTACGAAGGATTTTTACCCTGGGAAATTTTAAAAACACGACAACATGGAGGCAGGTGAATTACAAATTTGAAGCAACGACGACATAAATATTATTTCAAATATCATCTATGACATGTAAAAAATATACAGAGGATATTACACGGTTGCGCGAAGATATGAATTTTATTTTCGAGTGGCAAAACAATATTTTACGAATGAGCGCAGCGAGTGAGTAAAATATTGTTTTTGCCACAGGAAATAAAATTCATTTCTTCAAGCCCCCGTGTAATGTTCTTTTTATTATATAGACAAAATGACATCGACAAAATAATAGAGGGAAATTACCAAAATGACGTCATCGATAAACTCACGTGTGAGATTATGGAAAATAAACCACTCGGGTCCCGGATGTAGTTTTTATCAATTTTACGAGTGGCATATTTTCCAGTAAAACACTCGTGTCTAGATAATAAAATAATATAATAATGACCTACCGTAAGATGTTTCGGGTGACTTTCAACAACAGCAACGCAGTAACAACGACAATGTATGTTTTCCTTTTTCTACATTAAATTGTCCCAAAGATAAATCCAGTTTTTGGTTTTTAACCACTACTATCGAAAACAATAAAAACCGCTCCGAACGAACCTTGTCAAATCACATCCTGTTGTCCTAGATCACTCCATTTAGATTCTGGAAGGCTTCAAAGCGAACGATTCGCTTCTTCTTCACCGTCAATGCCAAAGGCACTTTGAAATTTCCAGGAGACAACACGGCGTAGAAAGAGGTAAAACGAAGCACGTAGTGGCTACAAATACACGAATACTCCCGCCACAATGCTGCGCAAAAAATGGGAATTTCTCTGTAGAGCACTGTATAAAGTTGTCATGAAATATTAAATTCTTCTCAGTCTTCCGTTTCCCGGATGCGACAACCGGGGGTCTGTTTGATTTTTATTTTTTGAAAGGTAAACTGGATCGCAGGTTATAGATGAATGAGCTACAAAATGTAGTAGCTGGGCGGTGGTAACCACAGTCTTTGTAACAGCGACCTCCAAAAAAAATTGAGCAAATTCTCGATTTTTTTGCAAAAGTGTCGCAAAAAGCTCTTTTATTCTAGAGAAAAACAAGAAATTCAGTTTGCAAGAAGTTTAGTCAGACGGTTTCGGGGTAGGACCCCGTATAAAAGGGACGGGGATGTTTATCATTTATCGCTTCGGAGTGTAAATTGCGATTAATTTTGAGACGAATCGCTCAATCTTGAAGGACGTATGCCCGGGGGAAGCTCCAATAAAAAAGTGGCGTAGACGCTTGTCGGAAAATTAAAATTTTAAAAACCTCTAGAGACCAGCGTGGGTCAGGAGACCATGACAGACTATTATCAGACCTTTAATGATCATTATTGGCCGGGATGTCATGTGCTTTTTTAAAAAAATAATTGCATTTTAATTTTTTAGGTAATAATATACACGAAAAACATGACTTGACAACAAACAATTTTGGCAGCGCGCGCGTTTTTAGTTCATTCCACTGATTGGCTGAAACAAAACTACTACCTTTGCCAATTTCCACCTTTTTTAAGACCAACGCTTTCAAAATCATTCAGCTAAGAACTTGAAAATGTGCAAGGATTGATTTCACACCAGCCTGTTAAAGATAACTCGGTTTACAATAATTAGCAGAAGTAAGGGTTTTTAGAATCATCCTCGATTATGAAAGCGTTAACAAAAGATTCCCGCTTTTAAAGATTCCCCGTTATAAAGATTCCCCATTTTAAAGATTCCCGCTTTTGAAGATTCCCCGTTTTAAAGATTCCCGCTTTTAAAGATTCCTCATTTTAATGATTCCCGCTTTTAAAGATTCCTCATTTTAAATATTCCCCTTTCCCCGTTCCCCGTTCCCCATTCCCATTCACCGATTCCCCATTCCTTCTTTTAAAAATAGCCATCTCTGATCGTCAGTTGCCAAAATAAACTTTGGATCATCATTATCATTATGACCTTTTGCCCCAGCGTATTTAAATGTTTTTGATGTGATTTATTGCTATCCGCAATTATGTCATCTGCGTTTCAATGCATGCATGCATGGCTGACGTAAGCCTGGTGTTTCATCAGTACATTGCCGGCGTAATCAGCGAGGCGTAGGTGTCAATGTCAGAAGAGATACGTAACTTGGCTCAAGATGTAAAAGAAAAGAAGAATCTGCGGTGCAGTTGCCGTTAGCTGTAAACAGCCAAAAACTGTTTAACTGTTAATCGTAAAAAAGGTTACTTAGCTGTAAATTTCTTTTAGCCACACAGTTGTTATGAAGAGAGTTTTTCTTATTCTTGAAAAATCGTTTTAGGCCTGGACCCTATATAAGCCTTTGAACTTTTCCAAAATAATAAACTTTTCTTCTTCAGATGTCTCTCAACCGTTTGCCGTAAAAAAGCCAAAAGTATTGACCAATTACGTGAATGCCTCCACATGATTGAGACATTCGGACCATGACTGATTACCATGACAGGTGCTGTTCCGTGTCCGGATTATGATTTGCCTGCGTCTATTCACAGGGATTTTATCGTATGCCTCTCGTAATCTGAGTTTTACGGGAAATAGGTTAACTTTCCTGGGATGAGAGAATGATGGGGCAGAGAGGGAAACGCCCAGTCTAGCTATTGGGATATAGGAATTTTACCACGGTTATTTTTAGACCATTAAATCGATTGAAATTAATCGGAGGAAGTTGGTTTT